ATTTTGGAAATGAGAAAGTTTTTGAACGGTCAGTTTTGGAGTAGTTTGTGTATGTGAAATTTGGAAATGAAGCTTCTGGAAATGTCAAACGTTTTGTAAATGTGCAAAGAAATTTGAAAACGTGTAGAGTAATCGTGAACGATACTTTTGACGATTTTGCCATTTTATCGTATAAACTGGGGGTCGAGGGTGCTTGCTGGAGATCACAAAAAATTCGTTTACGTTTCAAAATTGTTATGTTGTTGGTCAAAATTAGTTAAACAAAAATTATGAAACATTTTTAATTTGGAATTTGATGGATCCTGGAGTTGAGAATTGGAACAAAATAATGAAACCAAATTGACTAGGTAGGGGTGCCAACTTGATGTCTAGAATTTCATTCCCCGAGAAAATGAGCTGACATTGAAAATACGTTAGAATGTTAACAATTTCCACCGTCTAGCCAAGAATAGCCCATCGGAATCCTTTTTAAGTTTTCATCTAGATCAGAATTTATTTATATGTGCGCCATCTTCAAACGTCCGTCTGTCACAAGTTTTCAAGAATTCGGTGCCGTTTTGGGGTCAATTTTAAATTAAACATGAGGAAGCAGAAGTGATTTTATTATGCAAGCGTCGTTCGCATCTTTCCAAATTGGACAAAATCGGATATCCGTACGAAATTAATCAAATTTGACATTGGCGCCCCGAGTTAATTCCTTTTAACGGTCTAATATGGGCATCAAAGGAAACGCATGACTATTGTTATTATCTAGATTCACTACACAATAAAAACAATAATGATCGCGTAAAAAGGATATCCTCGACAGGATAAGATCGTAAAGACGCCATACACTACTGAGGCAGAGGCGCGCGGACGTTCAAAGGAAGAACTTAACTATGTATATTTTATATATTTATAATTAGAATTTAAAATAATTACTTATAGGATGCAATGCCTAATAAATATGTCTACAGCGCTATTCATTTATCTTGCTTTTTTTATAATACATAATAATAACAACTTTATGTATCTAGCTTCCTGCTGTTGAACATTAATTAATGCATTAAAGATAATGTAATTTATTTTACAAGAAGCTACTGTTTAAAGACGAGGAGAAAAAACGACGTTAATATTCGCCATATTTTAAATTGAAAATTGAAAATAATTTATTAGAGCGAGACGTCAGCCGAAATTGCATCCTTTAAATTCACATTAGAGTCACCGGTCTTGTTGATAAATTAATGCTTTTTTCCTGAACGTTCTGTCATCTCGCATATTTCCCTCCCTCTCGACGGGTTTGTTAAATATTTATTGCATAGTTTCCGTCGCGAAAATGGCGATATGCAAAATTTAATCAGTCGCGATCCCCGCGCGTGCCGCTCTAATGGCGAATTTTCCTTTTTATTCGATCCAAATGAGATGATGAAATAACTTTTTTTTTACGCTCGGACAGATTTTCTATATGCAATGAAAGTGTACTACACGAACTTGTGTGAAGTCAGCAACAATCACATTTTAGATGAGGTTTATGCAGTAATCAAATTTGCGAATGAGTGGGCAAGATCAAATAATAATTATTATTACAGTCTATTGAAGGTATAAGTATGTAGATTCAATATCAATCCAATTATCAGTGCGTTAATATGCATATTTCTGCATATTACTGCTGCATCACGAAATAAGCAAATCTATTATTATTGAATGGCTGTTACCCTAGTTACGCCATGATTAATGATTTTTAAGGAAATCGCTTTTCCATTGCTACATATTTATTCGCATCGTTGATATTGAGAATATAAAATCCTGGATTATTTTAAATACCCATTCCTGTGGAATTTAAGTACAAGATTGTTTAATAAATTGGGATTTTTCGCTGACTGCTATTGGTGTCGAATAAAGGTCACATAACCAAAAATGCAAACCAAATGTAGCGAATATTCTAGAAATTGCGATACATTGCGGCCCCATAACAGATAGGTCATCGGTGATACGAAACGAATGCGAGTGTGACGCATTCTTTCCGGGAAATATGGCGTGTTTGATCGAGAACATTTTAGAATATTCGGAAGCGTTCGAGAACTTTCGAGCTATATAAGCAAATCGAATTGTGCTTCAATAAGTTCTAACAGCGTTGCCAAAGTGAAATATCTGCCATCAATAGATCGCGCTCGTGTTGTTATAAATAATAATCTGATTGGACGACTTGTTTCGACTTCGTAGTCATCTTCTGGCAGTAAACGTTTTTAGTATATGACATTCTTTATAATAAAAATTGCATAGTCAGAAGACGATTCTACGGAGTCGAAACCAGTCGCTCAATCAAATTTTATAACAAAACTTGGGGAGAGTTTGGTGTTTTCATTAGTCAACTGGACTACATTAAATATTAACTTTCGCATCCATCAGTTTATTGCTCAAAATCGGTCTTAATCCTTACTTATTTATGCACGAATTTTCTTGAGAAAAACACCAAAATCGATTTCTGGATGCCGAAGAAATGATCCATGCGTATTTTTAGGGACGAATTTATTTTTACCCAAAGGATGACAAAATTGTTATTTATGCACCAATTTTGTATAGAAAAAGACCAAAATAGTTATGCACGCTCAAACTATAAACGAATCGACTTTAAAGGTAGTATGTCCGTCTGTCTATGGGACGTAGTGGTTTTGATTTACTTGTTTTCTATTGGTGCTTGTGCATGAGCTTGGTCACTTCTTGTCCTGTCTCGTCTTGCAAGTCTTGGAGTGTGTGACTCTGTATACACTACCTTTTTTTGAGCCCCGAAAAAAAATTGTCTCAGATCGACCCGGAAAAAAAATTTTCTTATAGAATGTGGCCTGTAGAATCCATAATTTCAAACAGTTCCAAGATTGGGCTACTAGTTCAAAAGTTACAGCCCTTTGAATTTTTTTTTTCGAAATTGGTTTCTAGTCTATAACTTTTGATTGAGAAGTCTGATCGAAAAAGTACGAATTGATTTGGATTCTACGCACCAAAATTAATAAGAAAAAGTGTTTTCCCCGAGAAATTTTGGTGCAGTCGATTTTTGGTAAAAAAGGAAGGTTATACACTGCCTTTTTTTGAGCCCCGAAAAAAAAATTGTCTCTGAACGACCCGGAAAAAAATTTTCTTATAGAATGTGGCCTGTAGAATCCATAATTTCAAACAGTTCCAAGATTGGGCTACTAGTTCAAAAGTTACAGCCCTTTGAATTTTTTTTCGAAATTGGTTTCTAGTCTATAACTTTTGATTGAGAAGTCTGATCGAAAAAGTACGAATTGATTTGGATTCTACGCACCAAAATTAATATGAAAAAGTGTTTTTCCCCGAGAAATTTTGGTGCAGTCGATTTTTGGTAAAAAAGGAAGGTTATACATGCCTTTTTTGAGCCCCGAAAAAAAAATTGTCTCAGATCGACCCGGAAAAAAAATTTTGTTATAGAATGTGGCCTGTAGAATCCATAATTTCAAACAGTTCCAAGATTGGGCTACTAGTTCAAAAGTTACAGCCCTTTGAATTTTCTTCTAGTCCATTACTTTTAATTGAGAAGTCTGATCGAAAAAGTACGAATTGTTTTGGATTCTACGCACCAAAATTAATAAGAAAAAGTGTTTTCCCGAGAAATTTTGGTGCAGTCGATTTTTGGTAAAAAAGGAAGGTTATACACTGCCTTTTTTTGAGCCCCGAAAAAAAAATTGTCTCAGATCGACCCGGAAAAAAATTTTCTTATAGAATGTGGCCTGTAGAATCCATAATTTCAAACAGTTCCAAGATTGGGCTACTAGTTCAAAAGTTACAGCCCTTTGAATTTTCTTTCGAAATTGACTAAATATTTGTGAAAGTATTTGAGTTACAAATACAAATACTGCTTCCATAAAAGTATTTAATTACAAAGTATTTGTATACTTTAAATGATTTTAACACTAAAAAGAATTTACAAAATCGAATACTGCCCAGCTCTGGTATGGACGCTAGTAAACTTCCCGAATGTTAGAGGAATCTCTATAGAACATCCATTCTGAATGTATACAACATACATAGAATATCCTATTTAACATCTTTTGCATATTACAGGAATATCCATGATATATCCAGTTGTCAGTATACCAATATACATACCATGTCTGATGCATATACATAAGACATCTAAAACGTATATACTATGTATTATGTGAAGTCTGCCAAACTTATATCCCATGCACATAGGTACATCGGACATTTGCGACATGCTTTTCCACATTCTCTGGATATACAATATCCCACGTGGAATGTACATGGTCTGCTAATGTGAGGAGAACTAACTCTTTTTTGTCGGGTTGAAGGACAAGGAGTGTTATCCCTACACCATTCTTCAGTTACTTATTCTAAAGGCTGATTGCATCAGTCTGCATAGCGTAGGTGTAGCGTTGGGGGCACCCTCTCACTACTGTGCAGTAGATGGATTCTATAGAGCTGCAAACATTCTTCCATGCCTCTTTCTGACGCCTAGTCTAATATCTTTCTTTAGGTGTACCTTATAGGCCTTCCATTCGACTATAGCTTTGTTCTTCTTTGCTTTATTGAACAGTTTGTCCAACCGAGTTTTCTGCTCTTCTAGCGCCCTCTGCGTCACTAGAAATGGTTATAGGGCGTCTTGGCAGTCCTCAGGGGTATATGTAACTCAACTACCAGGATTCGTTCATTTGCTTTGCACGGCACAAACACGAAGATGTTGGCATACGCCGGGTCGAGCCTGGCGTTACGCGCCCCTCTTTATCAATGAACCACTCAAGGGCTATTCCATACCACCAGACCCCCGGACTTGTGTTTACTTCTTAAGAGGAAGGAATATGATTCTAAGCTCCAGGGTGTTGCTTTAGTTTTGATTTCAAATTTAAGTGGAATTTGGTTAGCTTTGGTTGTTGTTTAAATATTTAAACAATGCTTTGGTTCATATGCACAAGACGTCGATTCGACGAACTACAATTTTCGACATTAGCAGTTGGACGACGAACACCGTTATTGCCAACCACACAATCAGACAGAAATTCCCCAAATAACCAAAACTGCCATTAACGAAATGGCTGCTGTGTCCGATTGTTTTTCTTTAGGAAGTACTGTCTGGTGTCGAACATGTTACAATCAAGAAGTTGAGGGAGACGTCCTCGCGTTCGATCCACAAACAAAAATTCTAATACTAAGTATCCTTTTTTATTTAATTCATCCGCAAGTTTCGCCAATGTGAAGGTGGTCCCTTTCCTTAACTGACTTAATCAGAATGTCCACCTTCAAGCGGTTCAAATCTTTTACACGACGTACATTTTATAAATCTATCACTAGTAAGCGAGTTACAAGTAAAAAAAGAAGTTTCCGCCATTCCAGAAGTACCACAGTCGCTAAACCTGCAAAGGGTAAAAACCGGATCGGAATCGCACGCGCTCATTACGAACTAAACTTTTTAGCTAAACACACGTATAAGGAACCAAGTTGACGAAAAACGGCGTCTATTAACGGCAATGGCGGCGAACGTTTCGCCCGAAGGACAGCGTCTCTTCATAGCAATCGCTAAAATATTCAAAGAGGTACGATGGCGAAATTCGGATATCGTCGTCTGGGATCATCAGGTCTGTTGTCGCTCCTAGGCTTACCTCTCGTTACCCCCTCCCCCCCTCTACGTTTTGCAGGTTATTATTAGTCCACCTTATCAATTGGATGATATCAAAGGCAACGCGAATAGCAAAGAATTTGGATATATTAAGAAAGTGGTAAGTCGGAACTCTGCGTGCCCTCCCGACAGCATCTCTAATTTACCAATTTTACAGGTAGAGAAACACATGAAGGATACTGCCTTAAACAATTCGACGGTCAATCAGGTTGTCCAACACAACTCGAGTGCGCAATAAAAATAAAAAAAAAACACCAGACCCACTCATAGAATACCTCACAGATTTCGAACTACAATAGTATTGAAATTTTATTCCGTTCGCGATTAATTCTGTCTTTAAAATTTGTTCTCTATTATATTTTTTTGTGTTTACACATTGTTTCGAGTCGCCTATCGTGATTGAATCATGATTATTGTAAATTTTTTTATACATAAGTTTTTTGTTATTGCCCCGATCATTTTTTTTAATGTATCATTTCAATGGTTGCATGTAATATATGAACAAATACAGTTTACAGAAATATCATTTGTGCATCATTCACATCAATTGTGAAAAATTGTCTTGTGGCGCCATCTAAACTAATTAGAGAGGGGCTCGACCAATTACATTCAAGCAAAGATAAAAGATTATTGACATAGTTACCAGTTTTTTTGAGAAAACGGTCCAAAAGTATGATTTCATTGGGATTAAATTATCGATTATCGCGAACTAATTAGAATTATTAATTTAAGAAAGGGTACATTTCGTTTTTGTTCGAGCATAACACAGACATGGAATTCGGAATTGAACCATAATATACCTACGATAGTTTATGAAGCAATAGTAGCGATATCAGTTTCAGGGGACGATTTATTGGGATTTACCTTCACCTGCGCAAGCGCGACGAATTGGAGTGGAGCGGTCATTTCATTTGCGAGTTGCGGTAAACTTTGCGACTAGCAGTTCCGCAATCTTATATTTCAATGTCACTTAATTTATTATACAGGGTGTCCCCTTTATCTTAAGACAGTCCATTACTGCAGAAACTAACGGCAGTATCAGAAAATGATTTATGTAAAGTATTCTTCCTACCTATGGACATTTTCACATAATTGTCCTTTCAGGTCAAGCGTAGGGTAACTTAATTTTTTCACGGAAAGCTTGAAATGAATGCCTCTGGGAGAATTGCTGCAGCAATTATTGCTAATTTCGTGTTGTCTTCAAGATTTTATTTTGATGTAGGATATCTAGATTAATGTTATTGATGTAATTATAATACATTTTTTTTAAATTAGTTGTTTAAAGGTACTAACATGATTCATTATCTAAAAAAGAAAAAAAACTATTAAATGAGGCTAAAGAAAGGGTGATGCATTCGCCATTTCAAAAATTCATCAATTAGAATTGAACATGAGTTTTATGTGCAGTAGCTTTTTGTATGTTCAGAGTTAAAATGTACGCACTGTATAGGTATTCGCTTTCGCTCACAATTACATTTATAAGTACCTAAATATAGTTTACGCATTCTTTTAAATTTCTGAAGAGGTATATCCCGTTACAATAATAAAATTATCGACTATCGCGAACTATTAGAATTATTCATTTAAGAAAGGGTACATTTCGTTTTTGTTCGAGCATAACACAGACACGGAATTCGGAATAGAACCATAATGTAACGTGATTTATAAAATTCTGGTTCGATTTATATCAATATTTATTAAACAAAACTAAAACACTATCAAATCCGTACAATTTATTAAAAAGTAACAGTCCACAGTTTTGCGGAGGGTCGTCCCCTGTGGGTTGAAGCAGCATACTGTAATTCGAACGCTAGTGTTTCTAAAAATCACTTCGATCATGGTTCGCACTATCTTCCAGTCCAACCCATCTAAACCACATCCAATCTTCGGGATCGCCAAGCTATTTATGTCATAGTATGCCATGAGTTTCTTTAAGTTTTTTTAAAGCAGACCAGAGGTTTTCATAGGTGGGTTTGCCTTCTGACGTTTTCTTTGAAACCAAGTAGAACAAAGAGCGTTGACTATCTTCCAAGCACAGTACTTTACCCACTCGTGGTCTTTGCTTTATCAACTCGTCTATTCTTCCAAATCTTTTCCGGAATACGGAAGCTATACCTCTACTCATGCGAAGGTCTTCGGCGACACAATGGGCGATGGAAACGTTAACCGGAAGCTCAAAAATATTTTGACAAATTTCTTGAGTAACGCCAAATCGAGCTTTCTTCCGCTGGGCGTAATTTGACATAAAATCGTTAAAGTTTGGCTCGATCCCAAAGCTGCGTTCCTCTTCTCGAATACCTCTAACTTCTTCGTTGTTGTTGGATCCGGCATATCGTGCCAGTCGATTAATGTGGACAACTTTCGGTTTCCGGTGGTTCATTCTGATACGATATATCACGTCATTTATTTTCTTGATCACCTCATACGGACCTTCCCATTGTCTTTGTAGCTTGGGAGAAAGACCTATTCGTGTCTGTGGATTGTGCAGCCATACCAGATCTCCAGCTTCAAAAGTTTCATTGGCCGAGCGGAGGTTGTATTGATTTTTCATGCGATCGCTGGCAATCTGAATGTGACTTCTAGCCAAGTCGTGAATATCGTTCATCTTCGCCTTTAGTTGGTCAACATAATTTTCACCTGCGACATATTCTTCATGGGGTTTACGCCCAAACTCGAGGTCACATGGAAGGCGTAGTTCACGACCCAACATAAGGCAGGCAGGAGTCTGACCCGTGGTCTCGTTGACGGCTGATCGATATGCCATAAGGAACAGGTGGAGGTACTGGTCCCAATTTTTCTGATGTTCTGCCACGACTTTTGAAAGATATTTACCCATCGTTCGATTCATTCTCTCAACCATTCCATCTGACTGAGGATGCAAAGGTGTTGTTCTTGTTTTATTGGCTCCTACCAATCGACAAACATATTGGAACAAAGCCGATTCAAAGTTCCGTCCTTGGTCTGAATGGATTTCTATAGGAACACCAAAACGTGTAAAGAACTCCTTTACCAACACTTCTGCAACTGTTGCTGCCTCTTGGTTTGGAATAGCGTAAGCTTCAGTCCACTTTGTGAAATAATCCATAGCCACTAGGATATATTCATTTCCGCCATCTGTCTCGGGAAACGGTCCTGCGATATCGATAGCAACTCGTTCCATCGGACTACCAACGTTATACTGCCTCATGGGTGCCTTCTTCTTGGAAACTGGTCCGTTTCCAGTAGCACATAACTCACATTTTTGACCCCATCGCCGGACATCTTCTTTACGGTTGACCCAATAGAATCGCTCACGTACCCTTTGCAACGTTTTCGTAATACCAAAGTGTCCTCCGGAAGCGCCGTCATGCAATTTTCGCAATACTTCCGACACTTTGCTTCTAGGTACTACTAATTGCAGCGTCGATTCGGTGCCATCCTCACTTTCAAGGGTCCTATACAACAGGTTGTCTTTCAGAGTCAGGCTATTCCATTGGCCCCAATAACTCTTTACTTCAGGACTTGTGGCACTAATGTCCTGCCAGCCTGGTCTTTGTCCGTGGCGCATCCAATTCAGAACAGTTTTTATACTTGGGTCGTTTTCTTGGGCCGTTTTGATTTCGCTCGGCTTCCATTCCTCACTCTCTACAGTTGTTCGTCGCAGATGGCCAATCTTGTCTTCTATTTTAGAACAATGTGTGCAGTTGTCCTTGCACGGTCTTCTTGACAAAGCGTCTGCATTATTGTGAACTTTTCCAGCCCTGTGTTCAATGTCGTAATCATATTCCTGAAGACGTTCTAACCATCTTGCCACCTGTCCTTCTGGGTTTCGGAACTGCAAGAGCCACTTTAGCGCTGCATGATCTGTCCTTATCAGGAACTGGCGGCCGTAAAGGTACTTATGGAAATGTTCGCATGCCTTTACCACACCCAGGAGCTCTCGCCTAGTCACACAATAATTCCTCTCGGGTTTCGACAGTATTTTGCTGAAATAGGCAATGACTCTTTCCTGTCCGTCTTGCAATTGAGAGAGAACAGCTCCAATGGCGGTGTTACTGGCATCGGTATCTAGCACAAACTTTCCTTCATTTCTGGGGTAGCCAAGGATAGGTGCGCTAGTAAGAGCTTGCCTGAGATGTTCGAAAGCTCTTTGACAGTCTTCACTCCATTCGTACTCATTGCCTTCTTCTGTCAACTTTATTAATGGTTTGGCAATGTTGGCAAATCCTTTTACGAATCGTCTATAATAGGTGCACAAACCGAGGAAACTTCGAATCTCGTGCTTGTTCTCAGGAATCGGCCACTCTTGAATCGCTATAATCTTCTCTGGGTCAGCTGTAACACCATCACGAGATACGATGTGCCCCAAATATTTAACTTCTTTTTGGAATATAAAGCATTTCTTGGGACTTAGTTTTAAATTGGCCTCTCGTAATCGTCCAAACACCTCTCTCAGGTTCTTTATAGGTGTTCTTCAAAAGTTTTTCCTACGACAATTACATCATCCAAATATACCAGACATGTCTGCCACGTTAGTCCCCTTAGAACTGCTTCCATAAGTCTCTCAAACGTCGCGGGGGCATTACACAATCCAAAAGGCATTACTGTGAATTGCCAAAGTCCAGAGCCTATAGAAAACGCGGTCTTCTCTCGGTCTGTCGATTCCATCCCCACTTGCCAATAACCACTCTTTAGATCGAGCGTGGAAAACCATTGGGCTCCAGATAAAGTGTCCAAGGTGTCGTCTATTCTTGGCAGTGGATAGCTATCTTTCTTGGTGACCGAATTTAACAGACGGTAGTCAACGCAAAATCTTGTGGAGCCATCCTTCTTCTTTACAAGCACTATCGGTGATGACCAAGGACTATTCGATGGTTCGATGACACCTTGTTTTCTCATGTCTCTAATAATCTCTTCCGCTTCGTCTCGTTTAGCCAATGGGAGTCGCCTTGGCTGTTGTCTAATCGGTTGGGAATTTCCAGTATTTATTTTATGGGTGACTATGCTTGTCTTTCCCTTGTCCTGGTCGTTTACCGCGAACACATCCCGAAATTCCACAAGCATATTTTTCACCTTTTGTCGTTGTCTTTTGTCCAAATCTGGGGTGTTTTTAATGACCATATCTATCAGCTCTCTTGGATACTTTCCTTTAGATAGATTTTCCGATTTCACAGAGCGAATAGCCGAGATGGGCACACACTGTCCAACTACAGTTCGTTTGCTTAGCTTAACAGGACTATCTTTCAAATTCATAATTCGAATCGGAACGCCATTTTGAACTTTTACCAGAGCCCTAGCCACTAGAAATTCCTTTTCGTTTAGTGCTTCGACTATCCGTAGGCTTCCCTGGCGACAATATCCATCTAAAGTGGTAATTATAATTTTTTCACTAAGTCCGGGTATAATGACGTCATGAGTGGTTAACAAGCGGATGACATCTTCTTTGTCTTCATGGAAAGGGAGTTCTTCATCGCCGACCTTTAACACGCCCTTTTTCACGTCTAACACAGCTCCGAGTTTCTTAAGAAGATCCATCCTCAAGATGAATTGATCAGAAATATCAGCAATTAGCACCTGGTGATTGATGGTGGTCTTTCCGATGGTGACAGACATTTGTATTTCTCCGTGCGTTTTTATTCTTTCACCAGTTGCTGTTTTTAACTGCACGGTCAAAGATGAGATCCGAGAATGATTCTTCAATAACTCTGGTCTTGCAATAGTTCTTGTTGCACCTGTGTCTACTAGCAAGGATCTGTCTTCTCCATTAACTCGGCCATCGATGTACAAACTCAGAACTTTTCCAGACGACGAAATGTTTACAGTGAAGATCGGGGCTTTGTTTCTGCAGGTCGACGATAGCCCCTTCCTGTCGACCCCTCCCAGTTTTCCGACTGCTGCAATGGTCTTTGGCAGTGACTGTATTGCATTATTGACCTTTTCTTCCACTACTTTACTGACCTTTTCTTCAAAACTTTCAGAGCCACCTTCCTCTTCGATGGTTCTTACCCGGCTCTCACTGCGAGGTTCCACCATACGTACTCGCGCACTTCCATGACTAACTTTCTTGGCGGCTTCGAATTCTAACGCATGGGCCAAAGCTTTCTCAATTTTGTCGTGCCTAGCCAGTCTCAAAGCCTGCTGGGCATCTCCATCACGAACGGCATCGATAAATGTTTGTACAGCCAGTTGATCAAGAAAGCTCTCCGGTGCCGTAGGGTATGCCAATCGAATCAGTCTAGCGATGTCCGCTTCAAGTTCCTGCAAACTTTCTCCAGGTTTCTGTATTCGGTTCTTGACTTGGGCATAGTAAACTTGCTGAAGGTGTTTATCGCCATATCGCATTTCGAGTCGCGCTACTATTTGTTGGAAATTCTGTTGATCCTCGGGGATAGTCCGCAACACATCCAGAGCATCTCCTCTCAGAGCAAGAATCAGGGCTGTAGTTTTGTCTTGAAGAGTCCATTTATTTGCCGCAGCCGCTGCTTCAAACTGTCGAACGTACGTGGTCCAAGGAATCTTACCATCAAAAGTAGGTGGCTTTACTCGGGCTTGCTGAACGTCGCCTTCTACTCTTGTATTTGTTTCTGTGGCACTACTAGTACGCTCTTTCGTAGTCAGTCGCAAGAATTGCTCGCGCAGCTCTTCATACTTGTGCTCAATCTCGACGAATGTTGCTTTAAATGTTTTGGAAACTTCCGTAATTCTATCTTCAACTTTTTCTTCAATTGATTTAGAGACTTCTTCGATAATCTTTCTAGAATTTTCCTCCATCTTTTCGAACTTCTCGTCCATTTTTCTAGAATTTTCCTCAGTCTTCTCGAACTTCTCTTGAATATTTCTAGAATTTTCTTCATTAATCTTTCTAGAATTTTCTTCCAACTTCTCGAACTTCTCTTGAATATTTCTAGAATTTTCTTCATTAATCCTTCTAGAATTTTCTTCCAACTTCTCGAACATCTCTTGAATATTTCTAGAATTTTCTTCATTAATCTTTCTAGAATTTTCTTCCATTTTCTCGAACTTCTCTTCAAAATTTCTAGAATTTTCTTCCAACTTCTCTTGAATATTTCTAGAATTTTCTTCATTAATCGTTCTAGAATTCTCTTCCATTTTCTCGAACTTCTCTTCAAAATTTCTAGAATTTTCTTTCAACTTCTCTTGGTTGCTTTTTATTTCTTGTTGCAACACCTGTTGGCCATTTTGGATTTGCTGGAGCAAATTGAGCATCGTTTCTTCCATTTTAGCGGCAGCAGATCTTGTTACAGGCATACACAAGCACAAGCACTTAATTTAATCTTACTTTTAATTAATTTAATTAATTCCACTCCTGACACCAATGTAACGTGATTTATAAAATTCTGGTTCGATTTATATCAATATTTATTAAACAAAACTAAAACACTATAAAATCCGTACAATTTATATCGATTATTTATGTCACACACTTCGAAATTTATATCAGCTTTTCGCGCTCTATGTTTCGTCCGTACTCGATCGGTAGTAGACTGCCGCGATGTTCGGTCCGCAACCATTTATACACGCCAGCAATGTAAGTCTAGTACATTCTCGAATAATCGCGCGCGTAGAAAATTCCAGAGCGCCAAAGGCGACGTCATGTCTGGAGCATTTCCGTTACAATAATATACGCGATAGTTTTGAAGCAATAGTAGCGATATCAGTTTCAGGGGACGATTTATTGGGATTTACCTACTTACACCTGCGCAAGCGCGACAAATTGGAGCGGAGCGGTAATTTCATTTGCGAGTTGCGGTAAGCTTTGCGACTAGGAGTTCCGCAATCTTATATTTCCATGGCACTTAATTTATTTATATACAGGGTGTCCGATTTATCTTGAGACAGTCGCATTATTGCAGAAACTAACGGCGGTATCAGAAAATGATTTATGTAAAGTATTCTTCCTACCTGTGGACATTTTCACATAATTGTCCTTTCAGGTCAAGCGTAGGGTAACTTAATTTTTTCACGGAAAGCTTCAAATGAATGTCTCTAGGAGAATTTCTGCAGCAATTATTGCTAATTTCGTGTTGTCTTCAAGGTTTTATTTTGATGTAGGATATCTAAATTAATGTTATTGATGTAATTATAATACATTTTTTTTAAATTGGTTGTTTAAAGGTACTAACATGATTCATTATCTAAGAAATTTGCGAGTTGCGTTAAACTTTGTGAGTAACAGTTCCGCAATCTTATATTTCAATGTCACATAATTTATTATACAGAGTGTCCCATTTATGTTTAAGACAGTCCATTACTGTAGAAACTAACGGGGATATAAAAAAATGTAAAATATTCGTCCCACCTATGGAATACTTTTTATTGAAATTCTTATTCTACATTTAAAAATAATAAACTCTCGTCGGTAACGTTTTTTTCCTACATTTCACCATTTTTTGAACATTTCCAAAATTACTTTTGTTGGTTAGGGGTAAGTACGAATTGGCCTAGGAAAGATGTTTCACACACAAAAAAGCTTTCATTCTTTATTAACACACGTGCTAATTATTATTCGTCGGCCAAACCAGACAAGGCACCCAAAATTTAGTATCTTCTATCGAAAATTTCTGTCGGAATTTGACCGCGAACAAATACAAGTTTACAACAGTATCTGTAAAGGCGAACCGTTCACCGAACGGTCAACTGTACAAAAGTTGCTTGCAATAGTTTTTTGTTTGTATACCACTACAAAATATACAATATTATATTTATGGGACTATAATTTAAATCGTCCGTAGGTTCACAACCTTAGATATGGAATTTTTCTTTTTATTTACAACTTTGGAAATTCATGCGCTTTGGAGAACTGTGTGCTTTCTCTTGTTTCGGTTTCTTGATAGTACATAATTAACACACACACACACGCAAAACATTAAAGGCCACTTTTAATTTTAATACTGCAAAATGAGCTACATTTAACATCTAAAGCACACTCGGTGCAATTTTATTTCAATCGTAACATTAAAGACAGTTCCAAAATATCAATAAATTACTATAAAGAATATGAGATTTGAGATAGAACTAACTTTTGATATAGATATCGATACATAAACTACATACACATCTTTAACATCGTCTCTACTTTAAATTGGAACGTTACACTGGCCCAACAACTTTTGTACTAAATATTATGTACAACAACGTGATATAACTGAGCAAATAAATTATACCATCCATTGCGTTCAAATTCAACAAAAATTACCTAATACAATTTTTTCAAATATCTCGTAGGAACATGAAATGAGAATGTTTAAACAAAATCTACCTGTAACAGTTTCTCTTTTATAAAATTATAACAAACTTAACAATCAAGTCCATATGAATCAGTTAAATTTACAGACAAGTCGAAATTGGACTGCAGAAAGCAGCCGGCGATTGGTAACAGATGACTAGAAAATGATCAGTTTTCAGAAATTCCTCCTTTGACCATCGTATGCGATCACCAAGACAAGATTCGGCTTCTCTAATATTTGATGAAGATTGTTACACTCGCGTGCGAGATCAGTAAAGGGTGAGGGGGGGGGCTACTTTCTGCATTGATTTCGACTCGCACCTTTTGGTATAAACTTTGCATCGTATAACAAAATTAACTAATCGGAGAAGGACCCTCCGATGACTAAAAAAATATTAGCGCTAAAGTAACTTTGGTCCCGTTATTCATAATAAACATAACACTTATAGATTAAGCGCTAGCCTATCGAGACTAGGTAAACGTTCGAGTTTAACAAAGGGTTGCATTCTCGGATCACTTTTAACGTTCCTTTTAAAGACTAAGGTTAGCTGACCCTGTGAATTGCTTTGATGCACCGAATAGTCAGGCACTAAATTTTCGACGCGCGCTCGTTTAAGGCAAGTATCGTTCACTATAAGAGGGGAACTGTTCGACGAGTCGCCCTCGTACTCGTCGTCCGAGTATAAAAATCGAAACCGCCTCTTTCGGCGCCTCTCGCCGGTGCTGACGGGAGATTCCCGTCGGATCACGTTATTATTCGGCTCCACCTCCTTAACCCTCATCGTCGTCAAATGCTGAACTAGGCGTTTATAGCGTATGATCTGCTTCACCTTTTTCAACTCGCCCGCCGTCAGTCGCTGCTGCTCGAGAAATCGACGCATCAACTCCTGGTTTTCCCGAATTAAGGTGGCGGTGATCTGGTTTACGGTGTGCAGGTCGTTCATCAGCGCCTTCTTCAGGTATTCCTGGTTGTAGTTCGGCGTCGGCAGTACCCGGTTGCGTTTCGGCAGCTGCAGCTCGATACTGCTCGACAACGACTCCTCCGTCTTGTGAGGGGGACTGCCACTTTCGAAGGACGAAGTTCGCGAATAGGTCTTATTGATGAATTTGACGCTGAGCTCGGGCGATTTCGGCGAGACCTTGCGCCGTATACCCGCGACGTTCCCCAGTAAATTACTCGTAAGGTCGGGGCCGGCGAAGCTGCACCGCTCGGGCTCAGTCAGCGAGCCCGTGCGTTTTCGGTCGTTGTACTCCTGCAAGCTCAATCTGCGCGTGTTAGACTCGACGATTTTACCGCCGTCCTCCTCGTCCTCCCAATCGTCGTTAATTTGCTGAATCAATTTGTTGGCGCGCTCCCTCTGCGTGGCCTCCGTCTCCTGGCAAGTGGACGACGTTATGCTGTTCTCCTGCACGCTGATTAAAGGCGGTTGAGGCTCCTCCACGTCGATTTTCGCCTTGACCACCTCGGGCTCCTTCTGAATCTTTGCCAAATTCTCGGGCTCGATGCTCATCCTGTACAGGGAGTCGATGTTAACTGGGGCTTGTCGACTAAAAAATTTCGCTTTCCTAGGATCCGCGATCGGCTTCTTCGGTTTCGTCCTCTCCTTCGGTTTCGGAATGCTTCGCGGGTGAGATTCGTTCTTCTTTGGCTTCTCCGCCTTCTGCTGCTTCGTCGGCTTGTTGCCGTCGAGCCTCGGCGGCTTTTTGAGCTTGGCGATCTTTTCGGCGATCGAGCTTTTCGTCTTGGAAGGCACGCAGTGATCTTTCATTTTCGTTTGGTGTGGTTCGATTAGTTTCAAGGCAGCTTTCGTTTTGGGAGTTTTGGGGAAAGTTGGTTTGGTATCAAGGCACCTCTTCGGCTCGGCTTGATCTAGCCATGTTACAGTTTTTTTTTTCGGACTCTTCTTCTTTTCGACCTTTTTTTCTTCGGGAGCAGTCGGCGCGGGAGCCTGTTCCGTCGCCGCTTTCGGCAAGGACCCCGCTTCCGTAGAGCTCGACACGACCTCCTCGTTGAACACGCATACTTCGTTCTCGATGGGAATGTCGGGTCCTTCGCAGATCTCCTTGACGTACATCTCTACATTATCCACGGTGACGTTTGCGTAGTTGTCGAGAACTGGATGCTCAACGGGAGGGGGCTTCGTTTGAACTACAGTAGTCTGGTCCTCCAAGATCGGACAGCTGTCCGTATTATTCATTATTACGGCATCGGAAAAGGTCTTCACCAAAATGAGCTTCTTTCCATTCTGCACTGTAACATTAATTTCCAGAAGCTCATCCGCAATTTGCAAGACAACGTTGGAATCATTTATGTGGTACACAATATTCGCTTCGCTTTCATCGTAAGTGGCCTTCTCCAACACCGGCATCTCTTCTGAGTCTTCGATAGCCACAGGGAGATCTTCCACCACTTCCGATCGAGGCTCTTCGATATTGACCACGCTTTCTTCGCATTTTTGATCCACAAAATGAGGCGGATCCTCGAGGTGCTTTTTCTTCTTCGTTCTCTCTCTTCTGTCCTTCTTCCTATCTTTCTTTCGCTTCAGTTCGCTTTCTTCAACAGCAGCGGATGCTGTCGGTTCCTCAATCGTACCCGCTGCAGCAGGTGCTGTCGGTTCTTCAATCGTACATTCTGCAGAGGGCGGAGTTTCGGTTTTATCCATCTCCCACTTCCTCTCTACATCCAGAACCGTCTCCTCTACAACGTTCAAAGGGATTTCCGGTGGATCCTCCTTCGATATCCTTTCGTTTTGGGCCGTCGCCTCATTTTTGTCGGCCTCTTCTTCTGCATTCGGCGGAATTTCAGGTAAAGCGGTCGCCTCCTCATCGGTAGATTTTCTTTTCCAGCTCCTGTCATTTTTTTCAATTTTCCCCTCCGTCTCCTCCACAGTATTCGGCGGGATTTCGGTCAAATCCCCCAAACTCGCCTCCTCTGACAGAATCGCGACGTTGTCTCCCCTAGAGCTATCATTGTTTTCACTTTGAACCGTCTCCTCCACCGAGATTTCGGCCACAGCTCTCTCGAGTGGTATGTCGATTTTGTCTCGCTTACACCTCTTCTCAACACCTCTGATTGTCTCGGCTCGGATTTGTGTTTTATACCTCTTCAACCTCCTCTCGCGTTTTTCCACTGCTTCTCTCTTTGATCGTCTCCCACTTTCGATTTTATGCATCCTCCACCTCTTTCTATCAACATTCAGAACCGGCGTAGGCTCATCCACCGCAAGCGGTGGAGTTTTATCTCTTGTCGATCTGCTTTCAGCTATATCACTCTCCTCTCTGCTCGCAGGTTCACTCTCGACCTCGACGGGGAGAGCTGTGATGGACGGAATGTCGGTTTCGTCTCCCTTTTCGACAAGTGTTGGAGCGGGTGGAGTTTCCATTTCGTCTACCATCTCGCTTGCCTCCGGTTCTTCAACACTCTCACTTGCTCGCTCCTCGGCCAAAAGAGCTGTGGCGGGGAGAGTTTCGATTTCGTCGACTTTGTCGGTTGTAAGAGCCGCACTGAGAGAAATCTCATTCTCCAGCCCCTCTTCGGTTTGTTCGATTGCTGCCGGCTCCTCAGTCACGCTTGCCTCCTCGTGTGGAATTGCTTCATCCACCTGTCGCGCTTCTTCTTCCACGTCCTCGGTCGCGCACATAGAGACCGGGCTCGCTTCCGCAGCGGTCAGTTCCGGAATCACCTCCTCCTGCATTTTTTCGGCGACCTCGTTCAGGCAATTGACGGGCGTTTCCACGTCGTCCTTAGCAGAACCACCCACAATCTCCTCCAGGAACTTGTCCAAAGAGGACACATCCGCGGTGGCATTTTCGCCTTGGACCTCCTGCGTGAGGTTAACCGGTGAGGTGACGTCGTCCTCGACGGTCGAAATCGCCAAGTCCACCGGTTGCTCGGCGGGGCTTTCGGCGAGACGCGGAGAAACCTCGCCCTCTTGCTCAATATCGGGCATGCTCTTGTAGCTATCGCCGCTGCTGTGATTCGAATCGTCCTCCTGCACGCTCGCGCACATTTTGATCACGCTCTCGCCCTGCTTCGGAGCGTTCACCATTATCCCACCGCTCAGATCAGCTGCCTCCGAATCCTCGACGATGTGTATCTCGACGACCTTGTTCTCGAGGGATTTGTCGACCAAGTTGCAACTTTCGACGAGCGGTTTCGCGAGCAACGAGCACGGGTTCGTGTAGCTCTCCGCGCCCTTGTTCTCGACGATCACCTGGCGAGCCTCGTGCGGAACCGACGCCGTCGACGTGTAGTAGCCCCTGATGTTCTCCGGCAGCTTCTCGAACTGCTGCAGGTGGAGGAACTGCGGCAGGCTGTCGTTTGTTATTTCGGTCGTGTCGAGTACGTAGAGGGGTTGGTCCTGCGCGTCGCCGGATTTCGCCTGGAGCGCCGTCTTCAGCTGCTCCATGTCGGCGATCGTGTTGTTCGCGATCATCTCGGGCAGATTGCCCGAGATATTCTCTTCGACCCAGGATTCGAGGTATTGTTTCAGGCTGGGCTTTCGCGAGCCGGGCTCCGCGCCTAGATCCTCGGGCGAGAGCTGGGGGTTTTGCGCGAAGGAGTCCTTGAAGGGCGGGTGCGTGTAGTATTCGTGCGGCAGCTGGCGCCGGTGCTGGTAGTGCTGAGCGTACTCCAGTTGGGAGTAATTCGGCGACAGTTTGGAGGAGGGGTAGGGGCCGTAGTTCATGTGCATGCTTTCGTTATACAAATGCTGCGGTGATATGTTAGGTAGGGGCTGCTCTGGAAGATATTTCGGGACGTTATGCTGGTAGGGGCGGCTGTACGGGTCGACCGGTGGAATGTTCGGTTTCACATTGTAATTGTAAGACTGTGGGTAGTTGTAGGAAGGGGGCAAATTTCGTTGTGAGTGCGCTGGATTGGGTGGCATGGAAGAAGGGTGGTACATTCGTTGCGATTGAGGGTAGGGTCTGTTGTGATCCAAGTTGTGATACATCGGAATTTGCGATTCTCTCAAATGAGTGTCGTTTATAATCGATTGAGCCATTCGTGGATTGATTTTGTTTAAATGCGCAAGGAAATTATTCGGTTCCGATGGATAAGGCTGGGAATATTGATTTTGCATGTTGTACTTTGATAGGAACTGCTGGTAAGGTTCCTTTTGCATATATTGAGGCATTTGAGATGGTTTTTGTAAAAATGGATGAATTTGGGAATCTTTTGGAATGTATTGGTGTGAAAGTGGAGGTTCAGGATATGCCGACTGCTTCATTGGAACATGGTGAGCTTGAGAGGGACCACTGCACAATTCCACATACTCCTTCTCCTTGTGTTTTTGAATAACGGGCGTTATATGCTCTATGGTTTGCGTCTGTTGACTCTCAACTATTTCCGAATACTTCACAGGTCCCGTGGGTTTATACGACAAGCTGAAAAGAATAATGTAACAGAGATGTAACCGTTACATAACACTACCTGTAATCTCCGTAATGGTGCTGATAGTTGCATTGGTCATCCGGAGGCCGTGGGTAATAAGTGTGTGGTGCAACACGAGCGATATGACTCGGATTTTCATTGGCAGGTGGCGAACTCTCCTCCGGCGATTTTTTTTCAACATAATCCTTTTTGCGCCACTGTCTCAGGGAACTCGTAACACTCCCACCATTGCCCTATTAAAAAAACACATCTACAACTACCCATTAAAACCAGTAGTAATAATTGATCACAGAACCGATAATGAGTTGCAGTCCTCTGTACTTAATAAGGCGACACTGCATAATGAAGCAATAAAAGATAATCAATGGAATTATAAGAGCGTTGCTCTTGAAAAGTAACAGGTGATTTGATTACCGCAAGTCTCACATATTTAGTTGTGGAAAACTATCGATTAACTAATATTATGCTATAAAAGAGTAGACGTCGAATAAAAGAGACAGCTTTACCTAGAAAAGTTCATCATTCATTCAGTCGAACGTACATCAATACAATTATAAATAAATTATTAACACGGGGACAAATATTTGTACTGTGCATTTATTGTGCTAACTTAATCGTCAATTACAAACACAAAATAAATGTTACGAGCAATACCAAGATATGTGGTCCACAGTAAGATTGACATACGGAAGAGGATAAGCATCACTTTCGCCAACTAGCAAAAAAAGCATTGTTACCTTGACTAGGGGCAGTAACACAATCAAAACGGCAAACGATCAACGAAAGATGGGATGCTATTAGTGAATGGCAATAAAACTTATCAATTACACTAACCAACAACGCCATTTTTGTTGCCAAACGTGTCTTTTTCCACCAAGATACCCGGCTATCTGCCAGTCCACAACGAAACGTGCTCAAACGAGTAGAAAAAAAAACCCAGACTAGATAAGTGCAAGTAATTTTTGTGCATAAATACTTACCGACACTTCTGGTGGGGCGAACGGTGGAGGATGGTGGGAGGGTGCAGCTCCCTGGCCGTACTGGGGCTGCATCAGGTACTAAAGACAAAAACACAGTTAAGTAAATGGTGCATGTGAAGGAACTACATGTAAATATTTAATCACTGTTGAACCTAACAATTAACGTCTAAGCTCTACCTAAATATGGTCGACATTCGTCGCCCGACAAGAATTCATAATTTAAAGTATCGAAGTTCGCTTCCCATTAGCTCATTGCGTATGGTGAATAATTAATTATTGTTCTTCGGGTGTATAGAGAGAAAAAAAAGGTAATAATTTTAATGCCGCATAGAAAAACGAGTACATTATCTAAATGGGTTAAGCGATCAAACGAGTATTAATAATTCATTCAAAAATGATATTATCGCTATTGGAATAATTAGATAACCGAAATTCTCCACTCGACACGAGCACAAATTGAGTTACATTTCGGTTATGTTCTCTACTTAAAAAAAAAACAACGATTGCATCACTGTTTGCCACTTTTTTAGGCTCTTCCCGAAAACGGACGTCTCGTTAGTTGTAGACATTATTTTAAGTTTATCTTTTTGAATGTCTTTAGGGCCACGCAGTTTCAGATACTGGGTGTTAGGATATACAGGATGTTTTTCAGCTTCAAAAACTGCTGCGTCCTAATGCGCCTAATGGCTTGGGACAGTCCGACGGGCGATAATACAATTCTAGTGGGTTTTACGTACCCAAAACAGTCCAGTTAGGCAATATTAAACGGCCTTTATACGCATTAGATTGGGACAAGGGAGCGAATCCGATTCGTTCATGATTAAAAATGGCTCCCGTCGGTAATTAGCGCCATTTTGGGCGTGCTACAAAATTTAAAGAGAAGTAGGGATGAGTCTAGGAGAGACAGAATCATTTGGTTTTTGACCACGAGAATGTCATGTGAGTGTCGGTCCGATTTAACTTAATCCAAGAAGACGTTAACTAAGCTGCTCAGTGTCACAAGACAGTGCAATAAAAAGTTACACGTATAAAACAAAAAGCCGCGTGTAACATGTCGACCTCTCGAAACATTACGGGCTAACGTCTCCATAACGATCGGTTCTCTTTAAATTGCGTAAAAATAGGTTGAGATGAACCTTAATTTAACTAACAGGGCCCGAATTAACGGAAAAGAGTAGTTTGTGATCTCGCGCACGCAAAATAGGAGCGAAATTTACGTACGCGGATTTATGTCAGCATTTATTACGGAAATAGACACCTAAAGTTAATTGGTTACTCGTTACCAGTGGCGTTCCAGGTATCGGAACAGAAAGGGATTTCAAAAATTTTGATTTTTATAATTTATGACCAGCGGCGATAAAAAATTTTTGTCGAAAGTGGTGCCCAAAATTTGAGAGAGCAACAGGATAGGGGAAAAGAAGAACTGATAGAAAGTATAGCAAAACTAGAGAAGGGAAAGACAGACAAAATAACGTTGAAAGGAGTAAAGATGGAAAAAAGAAAAGAGAGAAAAACTACGGAGGAATGGTTAAACAAGTTGTAAATCAGCATATGCATGATTAAAGCGCATTTTTGATAATGCAGGTCAGTATTTTAATAGCGAAGTTTAAAATTATCGATCTCACGAGTAATGTTGGCTGCGTTAAATAATTAATTTTATTTAATTTCAATTGAGGATACGTCTTCATTTTGTAAAACAAATCACAAACTAAATAATAAGTTTTTATACTGGTAGCGCCATCTAACGGTAAAATTATAGCACCTCCGAAACCCATATCGAAATTATTTTCTTCAATTATCGATCTCACAAGTAATCTAACTCAAAATAGACTAGTGCCTGCACATCTACACTATAGCAGAAAGCTTTTAGTGAAAATTTGAATTCTCTAGCTATTGTAGTTGTGGAGATCTCACGCGGACAGCCGGCCTGCCAGCCATAACGAATATAATAGCGTATTTTTTTCAAAAATGCGCTAAAAACCTACAAGTAGAGGCGAATGTAAAAGAGGTGGAAGACGAAAAGACGGAGTTTGGAGGGAGAAATTAATAGTATTTATATAGAGGACATGCGGCGATGGTAGCAAGTAAAAACGATCGATTTTGGGAGCTTAAGCGGATATTATGCATTGCGAAAATTGAATCATGGATAAAACTTAGAGAAAGGATTCTTAATGAATACATACGAAAGAAGATGTAAACAAGTATAAATTGTGCACAACTCTCGTGAAGATAAAGCGCATTGTTTAAACCGAAATAGCTTTTGTTTTGACATCACCAATGGAGGGCTATGGTTGGTAGAAATTAATTCTTTCCGTTGAGACCTTTCATTAGAGTACCATGAAGGATAAAACTAGTTCCACTCCCCCTCCTCCCCGTACTTTGATAACAGGACAGAAAGAAGAGCAGTAGTTAGTAGAAAACGGTTTCTTTCGTTGAGACCTTTAATTAGAATACAATGAGATAAAATTAATATTTAACCCCCCCCCCCCAGACCCTTTCGCTCACTGATCTCGAAAAAGAGTCGCACGGGAAAGTTAGTAGTTTGTACAAACCAACTTATTTCCATGAGACCTTTCATTAGAATACCATGAAGGGTAGAACATGTGCCCCCCCCCCCCCCCAATAAAGTTTAACTTGGTACCACTAAAGGCATGCGTGTGCAAAATCTGAGACCAATTGGTTGTCGTATGTAAAAGTTTACTTTCAAAAACAGCATCTCAGGAAATAATTCTTGGGCACGGGGGGGGGGGGGGGCTTTTAGACAGCGAAATTTGATGGCCGTCTGGCACACGTTCAAGGTATAAGCTACCTACTGTAAAAAATTCCTGGACTCTAGGACCATTCCCCTAGAAGTAGTTCGACGGACGGACGGACACAAATAATAGCACTTTTTTCTTTATTCTTAAAAAATGCACTAAAAATAAAACAGAAAATATGGTAGATAAAAGGGATGAGAAGAGGATAATATTGGGGCGATTTAAATGCCAGAACAGGGAATAGGAAAATGGATAGAGAAACACAAGAAAATCCAGAGATAAAGAATGCAACAAAGAGGGAGAAGTGCTACTGGAATTATCAGAAAAGAGAAGAATACTAAACGGAAATATAGAAGGAGAAAAGGACGGCAATACACATACATGGAAGGAAAAGGGAGGTCGCTAATATTGATTACACCATAGTAGAAATAGAAGCATTTCATGTAACGTGGAAACAAATAAATGATGAAGAAAGGAGATAATTGGAAGAACTGGTGGACAGAAAGTGTAGAAGAAACGGATCTATAATAATCATGTAGAAAGAAAGAAAATGAGAGATGAGATAGAGGACAAGGAAAAGAGAACAAAAAAAGTACAAACGAAAATGTAAAGAAAAAATATGGAGAAAAAGAAAGAATATAAAGAACAAATCAAGGAAATAAACAGAAAAGGACTTTTGGAAGATGATAAACAAAAGAAAAGAACAAAACAAGTGGTAGAGAAATACAAATAGAGGACTGAAAACCACACGACATCTATTGACAGGTCCATTAACGAGAATCTTGTCTTATGAAGGGACCCCTGCACCAAATGGACGTTAAAGTAAACTCTGCAGTTGTGCGTACACAGACATCGGTGCCCAAGACCGCGGCACATGGGCTATTCCCGGATACCGTCCCTAAGTGCAGTTTTCTGCAATTGAGGTTTATGTAACTCTCAGGAGCTACAGAAAAAGTTCAAGGAATTCCTGAAAAATCTTGCAAAACTCTTCTAAAGTATTAGGAAGCCTCTCCAGGTCATTTTCCAAAATTGTGTAGTGAATTATATGGTCCTCCTTTCCCGATCTTTCTCAAAGTTTATAATTTGGAGTATGATAGGGGAGGGGGGGGGTCTTAGTTATCAAGGTCTGGTTTAAAAACTATCACTTTTGCGTGGAATTTTGATAGGATAATAAGACTAAACCATACCTCTACTCTGCCAAGGTTTGTGCCGAACTTGCTCTCGGCTCGGCAATGGTTTTAAGACTGGCAACTTTGTGTGAAAGTTTGGTAACACGCTCTCTTGAATGCCCAAAGAACTGGATTGTGTAAACCCACTGCCGAGCGAGCCGAAAGCAAGTTCGGCACAAACCTAGGCAGAGTAAAGGTATGTTAGGGTAAGTCATACCTCTATTCTGCCTAAGTTTGTGCCGAACTCACCTTCGGCTCGCTCGGCACTGGTTCTAAAACTATCAATTTTGCGTGGAAGATTGATATATGACACGCCTGAACTAAAAGTGATAGTGTAGAACCAGTGCCGAGCGAGCCGAAGGTGAGTTCGGCACAAACCTAGGCAGAATAAAGGTATGTTAGGGTAAGTCATACTTCTATTCTGCCTAGGTTTGTGCCGAACTCACCTTCGGCTCGCTCGGCACTGGTTCTAAAACTATCAATTTTGCGCGGAAGATTGATATATGACACGCCTGAACTAAAAGTGATAGTGTAGAACCAGTGCCGAGCGAGCCGAAGGTGAGTTCGGCACAAACCTAGGCAGAGTAAAGGTATGTTAGGGTAAGTCATACCTCTATTCTGCCTAAGTTTGTGCCGAACTCACCTTCGGCTCGCTCGGCACTGGTTCTAAAACTATCAATTTTGCGCGGAAGATTGATATATGACACGCCTGAACTAAAAGTGATAGTGTAGAACCAGTGCCGAGCGAGCCGAAGGTGAGTTCGGCACAAACCTAGGCAGAATAAAGGTATGTTAGGGTAAGTCATACTTCTATTCTGCCTAGGTTTGTGCCGAACTCACCTTCGGCTCGCTCGGCACTGGTTCTAAAACTATCAATTTTGCGTGGAAGATTGATATATGACACGCCTGAACTAAAAGTGATAGTGTAGAACCAGTGCCGAGCGAGCCGAAGGTGAGTTCGGCACAAACCTAGGCAGAGTAAAGGTATGTTAGGGTAAGTCATACCTCTATTCTGCCTAAGTTTGTGCCGAACTCACCTTCGGCTCGCTCGGCACTGGTTCTAAAACTATCAATTTTGCGCGGAAGATTGATATATGACACGCCTGAACTAAAAGTGATAGTGTAGAACCAGTGCCGAGCGAGCCGAAGGTGAGTTCGGCACAAACCTAGGCAGAGTAAAGGTATGTTAGGGTAAGTCATACCTCTATTCTGCCTATGTTTGTGCCGAACTCCCCTTCGGCTCGCTCGGCACTGGTTCTAAAACTATCAATTTTGCGCGGAAGATTGATATATGACACGCCTGAACTAAAAGTGATAGTGTAGAACCAGTGCCGAGCGAGCCGAAGGTGAGTTCGGCACAAACCTAGGCAGAGTAAAGGTATGTTAGGGTAAGTCATACCTCTATTCTGCCTAAGTTTGTGCCGAACTCACCTTCGGCTCGCTCGGCACTGGTTCTAAAACTATCAATTTTGCGCGGAAGATTGATATATGACACGCCTGAACTAAAAGTGATAGTGTAGAACCAGTGCCGAGCGAGCCGAAGGTGAGTTCGGCACAAACCTAGGCAGAGTAAAGGTATGTTAGGGTAAGTCATACTTCTATTCTGCCTAGGTTTGTGCCGAACTCACCTTCGGCTCGCTCGGCACTGGTTCTAAAACTATCAATTTTGCGTGGAAGATTGATATATGACACGCCTGAACTAAAAGTGATAGTGTAGAACCAGTGCCGAGCGAGCCGAAGGTGAGTTCGGCACAAACCTAGGCAGAGTAAAGGTATGTTAGGGTAAGTCATACCTCTATTCTGCCTATGTTTGTGCCGAACTCACCTTCGGCTCGCTCGGCACTGGTTCTAAAACTATCAATTTTGCGTGGAAGATTGATATATGACACGCCTAAACTAAAAGTGATAGTTTAGAACCAGTGCCGAGCGAGTAAGGGTAAGTCATGCCTCTACTCTGCCTGCGCTTGTGCCAAGCTGGTTTTAAAACCTCCAATTTTGCGTGGAAGTTTGATAACACGTCTATTTTAATGGCGAACGAGGTGAAGACTTGTAAAAGTGATGTTTTAAAACCTTGGCAGAGTAGAGACTTACCCTATCATACCTTTACTTGCCCCGTTTTGCAGTTATCAAGGCTTTATCAAAGCACTAATCATTGGTTTCAACATTAGAGCTCTCAAAAATAGTAAGCCAGAGGGCGCTGTTTGGGCTACGCACCAAGAGGCACTAACGAAGCACTAACAATTCGCACTGATCCCAGCTTTTAATAGCCGTGCTAACTTCACGCACCTCCACAAAAGTAAGTTAATTTACACGAACTTACCAACTCTCTTAAGTGGCGGGAAAACATCCCCGAAAGGGTAACGATGGCGGTCAGACATCGACGAACGTCCTCCAATTTTCAACAATCAGCGACAAATTGCGCGATGAATGGCGATTATTAAGCGTCTCCATTTCGTCGAAATTCACACGATGAAACCACTGCACGTATTTGAATTTAAAAAAATGGACGTGGCGTTTCAACACCATCGAACTGTTATGAACTTTGTAAGAGCGAAAAGGTTATCGGCAGACTGATACGAATTCACTAGCAACTCGAGTTTGACGAAATACCAGTCGTCTCATTTCAGTGCCGATAATACCGGAGGATTGTGCAGGTCAAAGTCAATAATAATACAGAAGTGGTGTCTCGCAAGGATACCGCAAAGGTCCTCTGCTATTTCAGCTAAGCGAAACGCTCGTTATTAACGGACTCTTTCCAGTTTCGTTTCGCAAATGACCTTAGTGCCTGTTTGTTTGTCTAAGTCGATGCGAGCACGTGCGGCATCTCCCGTCTATTTGATGCAAATTCGCCAAAAGTTTCTCATAACTTTGAGAGGAAAATGAAACGGCCATGATCACCCCGTACTCTAATAACAACGTCAATCGATAATTAATAATAAACAAAATGGCTCAGCACTTGATTAACAATCATAATTAATAATAATCACAATATTTATATAAATAAAGCATATAGCGTCTTAATTAGTTTAATTGATAGGCATATCGTTGCCCTTTGATTAAGTGGCTGATTTACATATTATTTATAAAAAAATTGTATGGTGACACAAACACGTCGAGGGCAACGTAACAGTTTCAGTGGAAGATCCAACCCCAGGAGTTGGCAACTGTGAACCACTTCTCCGTGTTGGTAGCGCACATTATACATTACCGAAAAAGCTACTCAGCGTGCTCGCCGAAACAATTGAATGTTAAAATTGTGACCTTTCGCCTGGGACTTTTTTCCGTCAATTTACATAATGGCCATAGATATTATATTTGTAAATTAAGTCGACGAACAATTTTACACAATCACTGCGAATCTCGGCAACGTAAGTGAAGATTTCCAGCGACCTCGAGGATGAGAACAAATTTTGCAAGACGTCTCGAGGAATATTCCAAATCTCGAAACCGTCTAACCTTTCAGTTCTTTTCCCAAGACCGCCAAATGAAGGAAGAGGGTCAATGCCAATAGCGCTCAAGTCAGTTGATACCTAATTATACGCATTATTTTAGGGGTAGCACTTATGAGACAAAAAGAGTGAGGTGCGGAACAACACACGGGGAGCTTGGTTGCAAGAGTAGGAACGCAATGGATTAATAATCAAGTTGTTCGTAAGCAAGGAAAGGGTTACTAACTGATAACTAAAGTTGTAAGGGTTTACAAAAAAATGGCTACCTTATTATACCTACACCAACACTAATGTCGCTACTCCCTGCTCGATCAATCTCGAAGAACTGATCGGTCCACCTCTTGAAAAGAAAAACCGATACAAATTCCAAGGTCCCGTATAGTGAATGGCACCTTTGATTTGCAGTTCAAACTGACGGCCACTCAAAATTAGATAATCGGACTGCTTCAGACGTGCGTAAAATCACGTATGAGACTTACAAAAGCTACCTTTCGAAACGTCTTCGCAGCGCTGGGAAACTGTGACTCATCTAGGACCATAAAGGGCATTATTAAAATTATTATCTGAAAGAGAGGAGAAAATAGCTTGTGGAAGACCTTTTGAGCTTTTAAAGAAGTTTAAAAGCTCGCACAGACACCTGTGTAGGATTTTACAGGCTCTAAGGAAGATTCAGAGGATCTGAACGCCAACTAAAGGCTCTCACAAGCTTCTAGACGGGTCCGTTAACTTGGCCCCCCCACTGAGAGATTTCATAGTCGTATTATTTTGAAATGAATGCGCTCGTTATGCGCTCATATGCGCCACCGATAATAACTCTTGCGCCATTATCGTTTTTTAGAAATCCGAAAAAACATTGGGGGGGGGGGCAAGTGAACGTAGCCCCCCCCGTACGTATTTTGTCCCTTGTACTAGGTCACCTGATACATTTGGTTATGCGCTCAATTGCGCCACTTGAATTAAAGCTAGCGCCATTACGGTTAAGCCATAAAAATTTTTAAAAAGTGGGGGGGGCTAACTTAACGTTTTCAAAAGTTACGTTTTTTAACATGTTTTTTCTACTACATCGTACCTTTCATCATGCGCTAAAATGCGCCGTAAACAAAAATCTTGGCGCCATTATAGTGTTTCAGAAACACTATACAGGGTGTTTTTTGGGAGCTTTAGTTAAACGATTCTGAGAAAGTAAAATAGGTAGGTTTTTAAAAATTTGTATTTAGGAGTTACTCCGAAGGCCGAATCGATGTAAAATATTTTCAAAATGGACGCACTTCCGGAAATAACTTTTGAAAACGCTAAGTTAGACCCTCCACTTTTTAAAAATTTTTTATGGCTTAACCGTAATGGCGCTAGTTTAATTCAAGTGGCGCAATTGAGCTCATAACCAGATGTATCAAGTGGCACAAATACCGGTAGCAAAATGCGTTATGGGGGATTCCGTTCACTTGGCCCCCCCCAAATATATTTAAGGATAACCAAAAAACAATAATGGCGCAAAGATATCTTTTTACGGCGCATTTCAGCGCATACCTGAGAGTACAATTTCGTATGAAAAGATGTTAAAAAAAAGTAACTTTTAAAAACGTTAAGTTGGCCCCCCCACTTTTTGAAAATTTGTCACGGCTTAACCGTAATGGCGCTAGCTTTAATTCAAGTGGCGCAATTGAGCGCATAACCAAATGTATCAGGTGACCTAGTTACAAGGGACAAAATACGTACTGGGGGGGGGGGGCTACGTTCACTTGCCCCCCCCCCAATGTTTTTTCGGATTTCTAAAAAACGATAATGGCGCAAGAGTTATTATCGGTGGCGCATATGAGCGCATAACGAGCGCATTCATTTCAAAATAATACGACTATGAAATCTCTCAGTGGGGGGGGGGGGCCAAGTTAACGGACCCCTTCTAGACGACTCTTGGAGTTTCTTTCACAATTGAATTGGAAACTGATTATATTTATAATTATAATTGACTTTATTCCCATACAAAATGGTATACATGAGCATTCACTACATGAGTAAAACAAAAAAAAATTCTTTTTAAGATATCTACAGGAAAAAACAAGAGGAGAAAAGAGAAGAAAGAAAGTGAATTTTCTAACATCAAAAAGAAATTTAATAGGGAAAGGGATTCTCTATGCACTAAGCATACAGCACTGAGTTAAAGTGTAGCTTTAGTTGATGGAGGAAACTCTGCAAGGTTCTGGGACACTCACGACGAACCTCCCAGACTCATAAGCATAACACGACTCTGTGAGGCTCTTGGAAATTATTTAGGATCGGAAAGGTCGTAAATGTTGCCGTCACTCGTACCAATTGTAGACCGATCCTCACACCCTCGTTGAGACTTTGAATGAAATCCGTTTTGCTAAACTACTCAACGAGGGTGCGAAGAACAGTCTACATTTGGTACGAGTGACGGAGTCCCCCTCACATTCTTGTCAATTCCCTGTCGCGATTAAACACAAACTAAAAGCTCTCAAAGAATTGGAGACTCATGAAGACTCTATTAAAGATCCTCAAGATTCTTTTAAGAAATATCGTATCTAGTGTTGGAAGATTTTGAAAATTTACATAAGGACAATTGAATTGGAGACTCTTCTGTGATAGTGCTTACACTTTGGGAGATTATTGGCTATTCTTCAAGGCCTTCAAAGACCAACTCAAAAGTCGGTCGTTCTTAAATGTTTTTGAACGCCCTTCAGAATTTCTAAAACATCCTAAAAGCACTCAAACGCGCTTAAGGGTTCAGTGCTTAAACAGAGGCTTCTGGACGACTGCTTCGAGGCTTTTGGAAGTGCTTGGAAACGCCCTTACCTTTAAACGCCCCATGAGAGCTGTTAAAGGTTATTATGGACCCATAAAAGCTCCTCATGGTACATCTCAAAGCACTCTTAATACGAACTAATAACTTTTAAGGCATATCAGACTTTCGGAGTCTCTTGAATTGGAGAAATATGGAACCTCTTAGAGACTTCGAAGGAATACTCGTCAAGGCCTTCAAACATCAACAAAAGCTTTATAAACTTTTAATATCTTAAAAGCTCCTAAGGGCCTCTGCAAAACCCGCGTCCTGAACACTCCCAAGGGTTTTTAAAGGTTCATATTCCAAATCTATTTATATGACTAACAGCTAGTTAATGATTCTTGAAGGTCAAATATTTACAAAATCTTTTAAAGACTCGGCTACTAAAGAAATGCGAGAATCCTAAAAGCTCCTGGAAGATTGTCCTTGCAAAATATCGGTCTGACACTTCAAAAGCTCAAAAAAGCATTCATTGAACTTCAAAGCTCGTTTCTAGAGATCTCTAAGCGAACTAAAGGTTTCTAAAGGCTCCGAAAGACTGTCAAAGTGTGCTGTAGTCTACAAGACCTGTGAACTGTACCTGTAGAACATTTTTGAAGTCTCTTGATTCAGACTTTTGAGGTCTCTTGGGTGCTTGAAGTGAAAACTCATTGCGACTCTTGAAGATTCTCAAAGATCTTTCCGATACTAGTCCCTCCTCGGTGAGTCCCCCCCCCCACCCTCCGATTTCGGCTCAGAACTTGGACTTACTGGCGGGTATTCCATGCACCCCGCTGCTGCGTTCCTCCTCGAAACGTTCAGCTGTAAAGACCCCTTCCAAACAGTATGGTATAAGTGGTAAGGGCTCCAAACCTGTTAGGAAAAAATGTGGAATCGGTGGGTTTGGGGAGTATGGAATACCCCATAGGAAACTGCCGAATAAATGTCATAGGATCTTCGTATACAACCCCCCCCCCCTCCAGCCAACCGGTGCTGCGTTCTCCTTCGAAACGTTCAACTATAGAGACTCGCTCCAAACGTTACGGTGTTAAGTGCTGAGGGCTCCAACCCTCTTAGGGAAAACGTGAAACCGGATGGAATACCCGCTCCCCTTCGCCCCCAGGAAACGACCGAATAAGTGTCATAAGATATTCGTATACCCGACCTTGGTCAAAGCTATGATCTGACCAAGGTCGAAACGAGGGGGGGGGGCTAATTAAAGTGAAAATTAAAAGTGAACTAACTATAATTAGGTGCTAATTAAGTGCCCTATTCCCGAATTAAATGCTCCTTTTTTTTTAAATTATTACAATGTTCTGCCAGGTGCATATGAACTCATCAGAGCAATTATTACATGATCTGCCAGGTTCATATGAACTCGGCAGAGCACTACCTTAAAAATCCAAGAAAATGAAAAGTGAACTAACTATAATTAGGTGCTAATTAAGTGCCCTATTCCCGAATGAAATGCTCCTTTTTTTAAAAGTTATTACATGTTCTGCCAGGTGCATATGAACTCATCAGAGCACTACCTCAAAAAACCAAGAAAATGAAAAGTGAACTAACTATAATTAGGTGCTAATTAAGTGCCCTATTCCCGAATTAAATGCTCCTTTTTTTAAAAATTATTACATGTTCTGCTAGGTTCATATGAACTCAGCAGAGCACTACCTTAAAAACCCACGAAAATTAAAAGTGAACTAACTATAATTAGGTGCTAATTAAGTGCCCTATTCCCGAATTAAATGCTCCTTTTTTTTAAATTATTACATGTTTTGCCAGGTGCATATGAACTCATCAGAGCACTACCTCAAAAACCAAGATAAAGAAAAGTGAACTAGCTATAATTAGGTGCTATATAAGTGCCCTATCCCCGAATTAAATGCTCCTTTTTTTAATTATTACATGTTCTGCCAGGTGCATATGAACTCATCAGAGCGCAACCTCAAAAAACCAAGAAAATGAAAAGTGAACTAACTATAATTAGGTGCTAATTAAGGTGCTAATTAAGTGCCCTATTCCCGAATTAAATGCTCTTTTTTTTAAAAATTATTACATGTTCTGCCAGGTGCATATGAACTCATCAGAGCACTACCTCAAAAAACCAAGAAAATGAAAAGTGAACTAACTATAATTAGGTGCTAATTAAGTGCCCTATTCCCGAATTAAATGCTTTTTTTTTAAATTATTACATGTTCTGCCAGGTTCATATGA